GTTACCTCAGATTGTTCAGTTTAAAATTCAGTTATTCAAAATTGTGAGTGAAAATTCCGAAGACATTTTTAGCATAACAAACAGACATTCACAATATCCTTGGAGCGGTTTCAGAGTAAGTTAGTGGTTTCAGAGTTGATAGTGTTTCCAAAAGTCCTGTTTACAGAATTGCGAGTCATGGAACTATCAGGCTCATGTGTTAATATTACTGAAAAACAGATGGCTTTGTCTGGGAAAGCTACAAGCAAATGATTTAATCTTGCCCTGTTTCAAGTGCCTTCCACAACAAGAATGTGCAAAATATAAAACTACACAGTCCCAAATTCCAGGAAGTGAAACATATCATTCCTGTCAGGCTCTGATGATAATTATTTGTTTTAACAAGATTGTGTCTCTTCTGTTGTGATCTCAAAGACAACTGACTGCATAGTCAAGCAATGTACCGTATATCCAGTATGCTGGGGTTGGGGAATTGTTGCACCATATAGTTAAACCAAATGGCAGTTTCAACCTGAAGAAGCATTATGTGATCAGGGCTAAATGTGAATCAAGGTTCATTGCTTATACATTTTCAATGTCTGAACATTGCAGGTTTGGAGGGTCAGTCTGCTCTGAATCTCTTTCAATTCTTGGGGTCTTATACCAAGTGAGGGTAAAAATCTAATGGAGGATTCTATTGTGTGACTAGTCAGGCAAGATTCTTTGCAAGACAAGGACCTAGGTGGCCACTTAGGTGTTCTCATCAGCATCCCAAAAGAATAAGTTGGGTGGCAACAGTGATGGTGCCCTCTGGACAAATGGGTGGGCCTTCTCCCCTCCTCATCAGGATGGTAGATAGAGAACAATAGGAGTGTAGTATATGAGACCTCATCTGGAGGCAGACTGCAGGCTGGGAAGCTGAGAGACAGAGGCATGCTTGCTTTGGGACTGAATCCAAGCTATGACTATAGGAGAATCAAAATTTGTTGAGGTGTTAGCGCTGTGAGCCACTCCATCTTAGGCTTGGGCTGTATATGTGTGCACATAAACCATATATCCTAAAGACACCACAGTCTCTGCTGTCCCTCGTTCCAAGGAAACTAAACTATTGGTAAGTGCCTGGAACCCCTGGAATCTCTCACCGCTCAGAGATTGGGGTAGTGTGTACATGTATAGAGTAGACTCTAGAGCTTCTTCCCCAGCCTTGTGGCTTTGGGATATGAGTGCTTTAGCTTGTGCATGATTAAGAAAATCAACTTTCACCAATATAAGGTCATACAATTTGAGGAACATACAGGTTTCTAACAGAGGCGCAAGCTCATTTTTCTCGGCTAACACATGCATATGATTTTTCAGCATCTAACTCTCAGCCAGCTATGTAAACTGGCCTGACTGAAAAACACTGGCTTTGAACTGAAGCTGTTCCTTCATTCTCATAAGGGAGGACCAGCTTCTGCCAAGTCCAGCTTCCATCTGCAGTTCTCCTGCACACCATTCCTGAGGGTCCCCCAATCCCCGCAAACAGATTTTGGTAGGGTGAAAGGAAGTCAGGAAAGCCCGATTCTGTGAATGTGGACCATGTTCCTGTCACAGAAGGAAAGTTATGATCCAAGCCATTGTGTTCATAAGGACACAGGTAAAGGTAAAGGGAACCCGACCATTAGGTACAGTTGTAGCCGATTCTGGGGTTCCGGCGCTCATCTCGCTTTATTGGCCGAGGGAGCCGGCGTACAGCTTCCGGGTCATGTGGCCAGCATGACTAAGCTGCTTCTGGCAAACCAGAGCAGCACACGGAAACGCTGTTTACCTTCCCGCCAGAGTGGTACCTATTTATCTACTTGCACTTTGACATGCTTTTGAACTGCTAGGTTGGCAGGAGCTGGGACTGAGCAATGGGAGCTCACCCTGTCGCGGGGATTCGAACCACCGACCTTCTAAGCGGCAAGTCCTAGGCTCTGTGGTTTAACCCACAGCGCCACCTGCATCCCAATAAGGACATAGGAAGCTGTCCTAAATCAAGACATATCATTGGTCCATTTAGCTCTGTATTTAGCAGTTACTGGCAGCATGTCTCTGTTGCTAATTGATTACATGCTAGGAGAAGATATGTTTGTTAGATATTTTCCTTCCTTCTTCATATTTCTGAGTTTAGCAGAGTGCCATCCTGTTGCATCTTAAAGGGATGCTTGTATAGGCTACCGGTAGTTTTGGTCTTTTCATATTAGTAATCCAGGACACTTTAAGGCAGACTGGATTTGTTTTGTACCACCCCCTTTTCTCCCCCTCAAAATAATAATCACACACGGTTTTGAGAAAAGGTATAAAATAACATTTACTCACTCAGTCTATGTCTTCAAGAAAAACAGATACAGCAGCTTGATACAGGCAGGCTTAAAATGCTAAGTGACTTGCTATCATACAGTCTATCTTCAAAATGGGGTCTGAGCTGGAGCTTAGATTTACAGTACAGGTGCTCTCATGCTGCAGGCAGGATGGAAAAGGAGTGTGCCCAGGCAGGGAGGAGCATGTATAGTTATGCCTCTTTCTGTCAGGGCACAAGAGGGAAGTGATCTCACAGAGTCCTCCGTAGTAAGTACCAGAGGAACTTTGTGCCTATTATGTGCCTATCTAGCAAAACATGAATTGTTGGTTTGTCTGCAATAAACATCCCTCACTCTCCATGGTTTCGGGGAGAGTCCTTCTCAGCCCTGCCTGGATGCACCAAAAATTTAACTTGGGATTTTTTGCAGTCAAAGCATGTGCCCCACCACTGAACAATGGTCCTTCCCCACACTGGGAGATATGAAAGCTGATAGGAACATTATACCTGTAGTGCTATCTCCCTTCACATATGAAAGCCATTACTTGATGCTGCAGTCAACAAGTGATGGAGATGCATTTCTGAACTGGCCCTCAGGAAGAAGGAGAATGGGCCAAAGGAACCATGTTCTTTTGGAATGCAAGGGGAGAAAATGTGAAGGAAAGATGCATACTTTAGAGTAGCTTCCCCTAATTTTCTGCTCTCCAGGTAACGCTGACTACAATTCCCATCACCCTTGGCCACTAGACATACTGAGCTGGAGGGCACAAGGTTGGAGGAAGCAGCTGTAGAGTCTACTCTATATAGAAGGTTGTGAGCTCATGATAGCTGCCAAGAAGATTTGTCTGCAAGTGGTTTCCATAACTTGTTACAATGTAGTCCAAGGAATCAATGACACCTTATCTACTCTTTAGGCTTCATGTCAACCGAGAAATGCTAGCAGCTTTCTGTAAAATAATCTGTATCTCTTCTAGCTTTTACTACGTGAGCATCCTTGAGATTTTATATTATCTTGCTAGTCTCAATAAAGTATCCGAGGCTGAAATATTGTGTCATATGGATGCATGGTTGTTGTGTGTGGGTTTTTTTAAAGGAATAACAAGACCCACCCTTGCCCAAAATGCATTCTCATGAAAAGGTCTGGGGGAAATACTAGAATTATTTCAAGCTGGAAAGATACAAAGGAATGCTTTGCAAATTTCATACTGCCATTAAAATACAAAGTACACATGCCTGCATGGTGACAGTGGGGATTCTGACCACAAATGATTCCCCCCCCCATTTGAAACTGCTTTTTTTTTTTTTACACATCTGTTACATTTTGAAGGCAGCTCAGGATCATTAAAACAGAAAAGGGATTGCAATGAGCTCCCAAAGGACTTCTCTGAAGTGAGTGAATGGGTGTTAAGATGGCAAATGTAATTCCATGTAAACAGTGCAAAGCAATGCATATAGTGGCAACAAATCTTAATTTCCCACATAAGCTCATGGGGTCTGAACTGGTGGCGACTGACCAGGAGAAAGACCTTGGAGTCATGGCAGATAGCTCAGCGTAGATGTTGACCAAGTATGTGACCGCTGTGAAAAAAGCAAATTGCATGCTAGGGATTATTAGGAAAGGGGTTGAAAACAAAACTGCCAAGACCATAATGCCATCATACAAAACTACCTTGTGACCACATTTGGAATCCTCTGTGCAATTCTTGTCACCTCGCCTCAAAAAGGATATTGTAGAGTTGGGAAAGGTTTCCAAAAGGGCAACCGAAACGGGTATGGAGAAACTCTGCTAAGAGGAGAGGTTACAGCATTTGGGGCATTGACATGATAGAAGCTCATATACATCTGCATGGTGCGGAGAAGGTTTTTTCCTTTGCTCATAACACTAAGACCTGAGGACATCCAATGAAGCTGAATGTTGGGAGATCCCAGGACAGACAGAAGAAAGTACTTCTTCAAACAATGCATATTTAAACTTTGGGATCTGCTCCCACAACAGGCAGTGATGGCCACCAACTTGGATGGCCTTGAAAGAGCATTAGACAAATTCATAGAAGATAAGACTTCCAGTGAGGCTGACTCCTTTGTGGCTACCAGCCATGATGGCTATCCTCTGCCTCTGCCGTCAGAGGCAGTATACATATGAATACCAGTTGCTGGAAACTGCAGGAGGGTAGAGTGCTCTTGTGCTTCAGCCTTCCTGTAGGCATCTGGCTGGCTTCTGTGAGAACCAGATGCTGGGCTAGACTGCCTAATCCAATAAGTTACAGGTAGGTAGCGGTGTTGGTCTGCTGTAGTCAAAACAAAATTTAAAAATTCCTTCCAGTAGCACCTTAAAGGTAAAGGGACCCCTGACCATTAGGTCCAGTCATGACCGACTCTGGGGTTGCGGCACTCATCTTGCTTTATTGGCCAAGGGAGCCGGCATACAGCTTCCGGGTCACGTGGCCAGCATGACTAAGCTGCTTCTGGAGAACCAGAGCAGCGCACAGAAACACTGTTTACCTTCCTGCCGGAGCGGTACCTATTTATCTACTTGCACTTTGACGTGTTTTCGAACTGCTAGGTTGGCAGGAGCTGGGACTGAGCAATGGGAGCTCACCCCGTTGCAGCGATTTGAACCACCAACCTTCTGATCGGCAAGTCCTAGGCTCTGTGGTTTAACCCACAGCACCACCCGCATCCCAGTAGCCCCTTAAAGACCAACTAAGTTAGTTATTGGTATGAGCTTTCGTGTGCATGCACACTTCTTCAGATACAAAGAAGTATCTGAAGAAGTGTACATGCACATGAAAGCTCATACCAATAACCAGCTTAGGTGGTCTCTAAGGTGCTACTGGAAGGATTTTTTTTATTTTAGTCCAACAAGGCTATTCTTATGCAATGGTGTTCTTAAGGCAACAGGGCACAGTCAAAATCAGTCTATCATTCTCTTTCTTACAACTGGAGCAATCATCTGCCACAGCTGCATGCAATGCTTGAGCTTGGCTTGTAGTCCAAAGCATGCCCAATATAGCTCCAACCACTTATTGGAATTTATCTGAAGTTCCTCCATGTGATTTACCACTTCTTTTTTTCAAAGTATAAACATTTACCATATTGACCTAATACTAGTGACCTAGCCCGTGCTAATTCCATTTAGAATTGCCATAATAAAATGTTGAAATCTAGTCAAAGTTAAAGCCCATCAGTGGCTTATCTCTGTTCCATTGAAGATGAAGAAGACTTAATTCTGGATTGCACTCAAAGATTTTTTGGTTTTGCATTAAGCTCAGCTAGGTATTTACGCCATTTTAGAAAACAGATCCAGAAGCTTTTTGAAACAGCCTATCTTACACTGGGGGGAAAAATGCTAGCCAGCCAACTATTAATGATAACACTTCCTTTGTGCAATACATCTTGTAAAGTTATCTCCATGAAAGAAAGAGTGCTGTGTAATGGTTCTCTGTTCTGTAATGAATAACTGGCTCATTTTTTAACAAAACTACAGTGAAGAAATGATGGGGGAAAGCAGAGGATGAGTTGCACAATATGGCACAGAACATTGAAAAAACTGTATTCCTCCACCAGACGTTTAAAGGAGAGTCAGCCATTCTTTTGAAATGCATACTTACATTTGGAAAGAAACCGTGCATTTTTTATCGTGCCAAGTAAATTTAATTGTCTGTTATCACATCCTAAAGCTGAAAACCAAAGTAACACATAACAATGCAGTCAAGAGCTTTTGAGTAGCAGCTATTTGAAATCTGGAGTATATCTGTTTTTGTAATAAGCCTGAGCACTAAATACTACTTGGCATTTTTGCCACACTTTAGAATGTTCAAAACACTTCACATCTTTTACCTCACTAATTACAACAACAGTGTAAGGTTGCAGATTTAGGGTTGCTTCAAGCCACCAATTGAGTTGATGGCAATTATGAGACCAGAACTGGAATATACTTACTCAGTACCTTATTATCATTACCACCTCTCTCTTCCATAAGAATGAAGATGTGATGCTGATAAGAACCACTTATAACGAAACTGCTTATGACTAGCAATTGCGTAAACCAAACTAATGATTATTTGGCACTGCAGCAGATACTTCTTTAACTGCTGGTATTTGGCTGTTCACTCTGAATCTACAGTTGGGTAACAACCTGCCTAATATTATTAATACCAGAGAAACCACTATTACGTTTCGGAGAGAGAGGGGCAAAAAGAGGGGAAGAGAAGATGGAGGTAGAAGGAAGGGGAGAGGATGGAATACAAATAGTACACACACACACACACACACACACACACAGTTGCAGACTGGAATTAAAGGTAGTCCCTGGGTTTGGAATTAAGCATTTCCTATCAGCGCCAAGCTTGCAAGTAAATGATTTAAAACATTTGTTCAGTAACAGTGAACTGATAAATGAAGATGTGTATTCAATTAAATTTTACTCAGAGTAAACCTGTTGAAATTAGTGGAGCTAAATTAGTCATGTTCATCAATTGCAATGAGTCTACTCTGGGTAAAACTTAGTTGAATACCTCCCAAAGAAAACTACTTTTAGGGGTGAAATCCTCAAAGTTATATTTTTAACAGTGCCAAAAGACATGTGCTTTTGTATGTTCTAACATCTTCGTTTTCTGAGATCTGTTGAAACTTTTGAGTCTTGCCTGTACAGAATATTGTAATAATTGTGTGTTTATCTCTTTCTTCTTTCTCAGCCCATGCTGTTTCAGTTGGGCTTTCACCTAAAAAAGTATGCTTTTTTATTGCATCCTTACTCATTAAATATCTTTCCATTTTAAGCTATATCCACTATTAAAAAATCTATTTTCTAAACCTGCAGCCCATTGTGGTTTATTTTTCCTCAAAAAGCAAAGCCTTCTTTTCATTTGAATTAATTGCATGCCATGAGCTGTATTCGTAGATTTGCAAATAAGCAAACGTTAGTGCACAGACACAAGTCCCACTAAAGCATTATGTCTCTTCACTGCTGCTTTAGGGTTTGCTTCTGTAATCAATGGAGCTTGCACATGGCCAAACCAGACACAGAGCAATGAGCCATTTTCTCTCTCCGGACAAATAGTCTACATTTTGCAGAGTCCTAAGTACCTAGAAATAGGTCTGCAATGATGAGTGCCCCCTTAGTAACTCTGATATCACTTTCATGATGCTGTAATAATACGGCTGCAAGAAGTTTACTGGTCAACATCCATTTGATTAAAGTGGGAGCTGATAGCCTTTAAGGATGAATAAGGCTTCGCGAAAGTGCAGTTCCATGGCTATGTAGCATGCAGTTATTCTGCAAAAGAAACTTGAAGGTTGCACAAAATAAAGAGCACAAGGGTGTTAGGCCATCCAAGGAAGACCACACAAGATTACTTTATTGAGACTGTAATGGGTTACCTTTGTGCCATTCCCTTTCTCATTACAATCAGTGCCACTAGAATGGATTCACGTTGTGCCATTTTCTGCTCTAGTTGCACTAAGAATGAAGCATTTAAATCCACATACAATCTTTGATTGGTTGATCACTCCTCCTGTACTCCCTTTCATGAAGCCCTGGCAACCTGAAATAGTGAAATTGTCAGAGGGTCAAAATGCACTTTTGGAAAGGAAAGTTTTGTCCTTTGATTCCTGTTCTTTCCCTTCTCCTACTTTTTTCCTTTTTTACCTTTCCCATTCACACTACCTCTAATGACTCTGAGAAATAAGCGAACAAAAAACAACAACCCCCCAACTGTATTAACTTTAGTACTTCTTACAGTTTCCAAAAAAAAATCTGTTCACACATTGCATGGTATGCACTGTATAATCATTTTTTTCAGGCCACTAGATGGCCCCAAATCCAGAAAGGAAGTTAGCAGCTTGTTCCTCGTGCCCATCCAGCCACAGTCCCCTGCTTTGTTTATTGTAGAGATGAACCCAAAGAAGAAACTTTTCATGAAGCTTTTGGATAGCTTAAAAAAAAATATCCCTACCATGCGCACACACATTTCAACAGTTTTTTAGGAATTGGTTTGAGATAGGTTGAAAGTGTTCATCCCTTAAGAGTGAGGGAAAGCTTCCTCAAGCTCAGTGACGTCAGTGTGTCTCCAGCTCTGATTGGCTAAGTATTCAATGACACCACCTTGTTCTCTTTGTGGTTCCCAAATATCTGGGATCTCCCATGTGATTACATCAAGAAGAGGTTGCAGTAACTTGGGAAATAAAAAATGGGTGTTAAAGCTGGTAGCTAGCAGGCTCCAAAAAGATTATATTTAAGGGGAAATGTTTCAAAAAATAAAAAAAACCTTTTAACCTGAAAAAAACCTGGAAATGGGTGAATATTTGGTGCAGCCCTAAATATATCTTTGCTGGTATTTTATTAGCTTCATCCAGGTAAAGCTCAACCAGACTTCAACAGGGCAGTTTGCTCAAAGGTCCCAGAACATGTCAGTCACTGCACAGTTCTCTGAGGCCTTTGTGTCAATCACTATCATTGAGTGAGACCCCACATCAGTCATGGGCCCAGATGTTTTTTCCTGAATGCTACTGATTGCATCTTAGCAACTATAGCCTGACAGGTTTGTGCTATTCTTAATGTGTTATTTCTTTTGCTTTCTTCTCGCTTTGTGCACGAGACTCTATACACTGAATCAGACTCAGTTTCATCTGTACAGTGGTACCTCGGGTTACATACGCTTCAGGTTACATACGCTTCAGGTTACACACTCCACTAAGCCAGAACTAGTGCTTCAGGTTAAGAACTTTGCTTCAGAATGAGAACAGAAATCGTGCTTCGGCAGCAGCGGGAGGCCCCATTAGCTAAAGTGGTGCTTCAGGTTAAGAACAGTTTCAGGTTCAGAACAGACCTCCGGAACGAATTAAGTACTTAACCTGAGGTACCACTATACTGAGGTGGACATTATGGAGCCCTCCAGATGTGGTTTACTACAGCCCCTATAATTTCTGTTAGCTGGGGCTGAAGGGTGTTGGAGTCCAACAATGTCTGAAGAGCACTACACCAAGTGTCAGTGTTTTCCCAGATTTCAGATAAGTCTTTCTCAGCCTTACATAGGTATGCCAGGGATTGAACCCAGAAGTTTCTGTGTGCAGAACATATGCTCAGTTATTAAGTCATGACCCTTCCCCACAGACTTAGAGAGTCTTTGCTCCTTCATGAACAAGATGCTATGCACTGTCCCAGTGATCTTTGTTGCATTAAACAAAGCTGATGTGGCAAATATATTAATCCAGCATGATCTATCATCCCTTCCAGTGCAAGTTTGCTTGTTTTGTTTGCTTGCTTACTTTTTCTTCACAGTTTGAGCCACTTTTGTAAATACATGACTGGGATAATAATGTGTTCAGGGATTCAGATTTTTATTCAGACAGTCTGCTGAATACCAAGGTGCAAATCAATATCTGAATCCCTCTTTCCCTTTCTTATAGTTCAGTCAAAAGCCAACCAATTAAAATTTTTAAAAAGAGAAGGGTCATTGAGGGTGTCACTTCTCTTCCATAAATATGTAAAATTGTACCCTGATTTTTATATAAGATAAGCACAGCTCTTTGATTCGAACTAATTTGGTGCAAAGTAATGGAATTGATTGCAGTAGGCTCGGTTGATAAAAGCAAATGAAAGCACTTTCCTCCACAATGCATTATTAACTTACTAAGCTGAGAACTGAAAGATGTGACAGAAAGATGGCCACAAGCTTAGATGACTTTATAAAAGGATCACCATATTTACTCAAATCTAATGCTCACCTTTTTTGGCCAAATAACATTGAGAAAATTAAGGTGTGCATTAGATTTGATGGCACATTTACATTCACACATACTTCTTGTTTTGTTTCAAG